TTTTTCCTTTGGCCAAAATTTCGATATGCTGCCACCACAAATGGAGAAGTCCATTCAGACGGTAGCCATGTCTGGTTTTAGCAAACATACATATTGGTAATGTACCGTTCCGAAATTTACAGATCGTTCCCAGGCACTCGCGCATCAAATTTATGTCATAACTTTGATCTGAAAAGTTATATTCGAGAAACACAATTAACCGGCCAACGACAACAACCCTTCGTAAAGAGTTACTCAAACTTTGACATTTCCACGTATGTCCTTCATTTTTCTTAGAAATATCTTTTGGTTTCCAATTATGACGAACAAACTTTTTTGGAAAACCAAAAACTTCCAGAAATCGGTGCAGGTTTCCCAACCGCACTTACGCGGCTGAGATATTTTCCAAATTTTAAAACAATATATCAGACTGATTTCACAAGCCATGTTTGCATGCCTTCCAAGGAACACAACTTCCCAAATAAAGACTTTCATAACAGGTGTCCCACCTTTTCATATATTAACATGGAAAGATTGCAATCGATTATTCAAATATATCATTGTTTCAGAGAGAGAGAGGACAAACATGCATAAGAAACTATGTGCAAATTAACCGTTTGGCTTGGAATTCTGTTTCCAAGAACCTTTTTGTTGTCCAAAACACCTAAACAATTCCCATACAAATTGCTAACACCTTTTCGTCAAGTGTTGCATTTGCCCATAAATTTTTACTTTTGAATTTTTATCCTTTCAAAGAAACTGGCGGTTGCATGGACACCGCTCCCCATGGATAATTCCAAACCATGATCTAACCCTAGTCATCACGACTAAAATCATAGAGATTGAAGTCTTAATTGCATCAATTTATACAAACCCTGTTAGCATAAAAGGGCTAGGCTACGCATCAAATACAACGTTATATGTTGCCCAACACGTTTAAAGTCACAGATTGAATCAACAAGCAAACATTGCTCATGTGCATATATAGATGAATATATTTGAATTGTATCATGCATTTAACAATACAATTTGAATGCCAACATCAAATATTATGTTATATATCAATAAGCAAATAAAAATTAGTCCCTCCAAGACATGCCTTTTTCAGTAGAAAACCATAGTGTCTTTGAATTAGGGTATAGGGTTATTACTTCAATGTTCTTAACATCTTCTTCACATTCATATTTACTAATTATTGTATAAGTAGATTTCTATCTTTAGATTGTTGGAGCAATATTAGAAAATATGAAAAATAACAATATGATTCCCATGATAATAATTATAAAGAAATTCACAACATCAAATATATATGAGATTAATATAAATAATTAGAGACAAAGTTAGAATAACTGACAAATTTGGCGATTGAGGCTTGCATAAATGCAATGTCCTAAAGATAGAATTTCGCCCCTACTCTTGTGCTTGTAGTTCGGTTGGCATCCATCTCCCAAGATTCAACAATCTATAATCCGAAGTCAAAGCACTTCAATCTTCGGACTCTTGCGAACTTTATATATTCCGTACTCTCAAGACACGACTCGGAATTTGACACACGAATAAGAGAAATAAAGTGGGAAACCCTATTTCCCAAGAGTAAAAATTAACTCTAATTTTCTATATCTAATACCAATGGTTTCATGGGTTTATATAGAATCCAACTTCTATTTATTAAAGAGATGTAACTTTTCAGCTATAAGTATACATCACTTATCAAGTATCACCTAAACAACATAACCTTTCTAAGAAATTGGTTAACACTATTTTTAATTCAATTATTAAAATTATATATTACAATATTTCATATTATAATATATAATTTCCAACAGAATCTTGCTACCCCATAATCCATCTTATACATGAAGAATGAATTTAAGAAAATGTTTCACCACATTTCTGCTACAAGGTCAACACACCAATGATAATTGGTCTCATTATGATGTTGAGGACCTAAATATACCGTTTCCATTGGAAGGTCATGATTTTGTAGAGATTGACGGCTATTGCAATGGGACTGTCTGTGTAATAGCAGGGAAAAATCTTCATTTGATAAATCTTCTTTTATGCAATCCTGCAACAGGGGAATTCAGGCAACTTCCGCGTTCATGCCTTCTTTTACCTTCCCGTCCTAAGGGAAAATTCGAATTGGAGACGATCTTTGGAGCATTAGGATTTGGTTATGATTGCAAAACTGAAGAATACAAGGTTGTGCAAAATATAGAAAATTGTGAGTATTCAGATGATCAGCAATAATACTATTATCATCGTATTGCTCTTCCTCACACGGCTGAGGTATATACTATGGTTGCTAACTCTTGGATAGAGATCAAGATTGATATATCAAGTTAAACCTATCATTATTCTTTTTCAGTGTACATGAAGGGATTTTGTTATTGGTTTGCAACCGATGGCGAGAAATACATACTTTCATTTTATTTAGGTGATGAGATATTTCATAGAATACAATTGCCTTCTAGGAGAGAATCCAATTTTGAGTTTTCTAATATTTTTCTATGTGATAAATCGATTGCTTCTTTTTGCTCTTGTTGCGATCCAAGTGATGCGGATTCTACATTATGTGAAGTATGGGTACTAGATGATTATGATGGAGTTAAGAGTTCATGGACGAAACTCCTAACCTTTGGACCCTTAAAAGGCATTGAGAATCCATTTACATTTTGGAAAACTAATGAACTTCTTATGGTTGCCTCCGGTGGAAGAGCCACTTCTTATAATTCCAGTACCAGAAATCTCAACTATCTTCATATTCCTCCTATTCTCAATGAAGTTAGAGATTTCCAAGCTCTTATTTATGTTGAAAGTATTATTCCAGTCAAGTGAGTTGAGGGCAAATTAAGTTCCATTTTCTCCTGTATATGTATTTGTATGCATGGTATAAGATTTATCGATGGAACGTTGTTTTGTTGAGATCATATCCACAAAAATAGTACTCATAGCCTAGCGTTGTTCTAATCTCATATTGCGTTACGTTTAAGTTTCACATATGAAACTTTACTGTCCCCTTCCCTATATACTATTTTTTTTTTTTTATTGATCAATTGAATGTCTCTGCTTGGTCATCTAACCTCAAATCGTACACATAATAATACATTTTTTTTTATTAAATTGGCACAACTTATACTTTTGATTTCAATAATCAATAGCTTAATTAATAGTAGTAATGTATTCATTTATGACACCAAGGAGGATGAATCCATTAAGGGACCTGGGTGGGCCCGAGACCACCCGAAATCGGCTAAGTGGCTGTGAAAGCCTCCGAGGACCACCTAAGTATCGGCTGCAAAGGAAAAGACTGCAGCGTGATATGATCAATTTTTTTTATATTTTAATCATATATTTCTATTAAGGATAGTTTTTGTAAAAGACAAAAGTTAACAATGTCAATTTTGTAAATAGTTTGGCATTCTGTTATAGGTTGCTATTTGGATAGGTAGATTTGTTATGATGTGCAGCCTATTTACAGCTCTTGTATAAATACTCAATGGTGTAATCTTATTCATTAATCAATGAAATACATTTTCCCAATATGGTATATCCTTCGTCATTGTTTAATGAAGTATATGATCCCTACTTCGTATCTTCTTCTTCACGTTTCCGTCTTCTTCTACTCTGAAACCCTAATTTGCAGCCATAGCTACTCTTCCTTGTCCCTCTTCTACATCGACTTCTCAGATTCATCCATCTCTAGTTGTGAATTCGTGCCATAATTATATTGGCACTCTATCCATGGTCTCGATCAAGCTCACCACAACCACTACCTTACATGGAGTGCGTTGTTTGCTTCGATCTTTCAAAGGCATAATCTCATTGGAATTTTTTATGGATACATAGAAGCTCCACCTAAAATTCTTTGTGATTCACCTAGAAACTCTTTCTCCTGAATATGTAGCCTGGTTCGAAAGCGATCAGAATATCCTTATCTGGATTAATTCGACTCTCTCTTAATGTTTAATTCCATATATTGTTGGTGTCAATTCCACTTGAGAGCTATGGTCAAAGCCTGAACCGTGGCTTGTAGCAGCGTCATAATATCATATTCATGAACTCAGATTAAGACTTCGAAGCATTTCGAAAGGTGAATCCACCACTATTGCATATCTTCAAAAATTTGAGGAGATCGCTAATGCTCTTGCCAGCGTTGGAGCTCCGATTGAAGATTCTGAGCTTATCTCTATTACATTCCATGGATTACCTTCTGAATACGAGTCCTTTGTTGACGCGATTCATTTCTGTCTAGGATATACAACTATTGATGAATTACATGGCTTGCTTCTTAGCAAAGGGATTCAACTTGCAAATTGGAAGAAATCTACCACCTCTTGAGCCTTTCATGCCTTTAATTCCTCTCTTGGATCATCTACTAGTATCCTACCTACACCAACCTTAAGCCCTAACTCTTAGGCATTTGTTGCTCAGCATCCCCTAAATTTTAATCACTATCAAGGCTGTGGCCAAAATCATAATCAGTCAAACCCTAGGTCACAGTTGCTAAAACTTGGAGGGACGAAAAATAAGAGTGAGTGGGCCTTAAAATAAAATTTTAATAATAACCTTTTGAAAACATTATAACCCCTCACCATAAAACAAGTTTAGTTTTCAAAATATACATACTATGTATAGTATAAAAATGCTTACCATAACCAGCAATATTTCAAGGATGCCATACGTCAGAACTTTAGTAAATAAGTACATGACGTCCGTAATCACATATTTTCACCTAAATAAACATATCACATCGAATGCTTATCGACATATGCTGACACACGAGTTCATGCAGAGGTATTCTGACATGAACATGATTGGGTGTAATAATGATATACGCCATAGTACTACAATCACGTGAAGACTGGCGCTATGCGCAGCACATACAAGTCCTAATTGCCTATAGCAATCTAGGACATGATTGGCACCTACAATGGATCCAAAGTGAGCGTACGGTGCGATGTGCACATACACGTAAATATTGGCCTTGGCCCGGGTAAGTACTAACACCGGTGCAACAATGATCAGCAAATAACTTAAATATAATCATGCCACATCAATTCAACAATTCTAGTCATTATCATACTATTCATGACCATAATTATAATTAAGGCATCCCCTTAATAATAAGCTTACATGTGCATCCCACATTATTATTTCATCATTTCCCAACGATAAGGCATTTCTTATAAGCGTTAGTTTAATCATGGCAATCACGTAGAGAATTTATTAAAAATTGTATATATGGAAACTAACCTATATATATAAAGACCCACTCACAAATCATGTTATCGAGTCGAACCCACCTCACGGGCATCAAGATCCTTGCGATGTGTTTTACCTAGAAATGAAACCATTTATGTAAATACGTACGTACTAAAGTACAAACGCATTTTCGTACAGAGTACGGCTAATAAAGAAACTATATTAAAACGGTCAAATTTCAAAAAACGAACGGCGGATTTGAAATCAGGGCGTCAAAATACGCTAAGGAGGTTCCCCAGCAAATTTTGTAAAAAGTCAACGGAAAAGTCAACAATCAACCCTAAAAAGTCAACCAAGACTCCCTGGTGGTCAACTATGTTAAAACTTCAAAATTTCACTAAATGGATGTCAAAACGGACTCAGGACATCAAAATTAGCCTAGGAGGGTTTTCGAGAAATTTTCGAAAAAGTCAACCTAAAGAATATTCCAGAGTTCTGAGTCCATTTTGGAACTGGGCTGGGCTGGACTGGACATTGGCCCAAAGGTTTGGGCCGGTTAGGCTATGAATTTGGGCCAAAAACTTTGGATGGGGTTTTGGGCCCAAGGCCCCTTTTTGTTTTTCGAAACGGGCCGGACTAACCCACCTAAGCTCGTGGGTCGGCCGCACCTAGCAAAGAGGGGCACCGGAGTCGGGCTGATTTGGTCGAGAAACTCCCGAGCTTCGTTCAAGGTCGATTTTTTAACCATTTCACTCCAAATTTGAACCAAAATGAAGCTACGATGGTAGGGGTTCGAATAATACCATTTTGGGTCTTTGCCGTGGCCGGAAAACGGCAGGAAGACTCTTGCAACTCGTGGGTCTTTCACCAGAAAACTAGGGAGATTCCCCTCGAATTGATCTGCACCGAAACGTTGTCCAAAGCATATGTATAATAACTCAATCATCCTCAAACTGAGATGGGAAAGAAAAATGGAGTGGTCTCGACCCTTACCTTGGTCGGAAGATAGTGATGCCTCACCGGAAAGCATGGAGGTCGAGGTTTGGTTTCGATTTTGTAACTGTGTTTCTAGTTCTGGGCTGGAACGTGGATAACCTTCATCGACGTGGCGAGATTTGGTAGCAGGTGAAGGTTTGGCTCGCCAGAGACAGCAAGTGGTGGTGGTTCACGGGGTTGCACCCTCTTGGTGCTTGCCTCGGTAGAAGAAAGAGAGAGTTGAGATAGTTAAGTGGTGAGGTGGCAGAAAATGAGTGGAGGGAGAGTTGAGAAAGAAATATAAAAATGAGGGTCTGGGATTGGGAGACACGGCAGAGAGAAGGAGAGTGGGGTGTGGGCCTTTGTGGCTCATAAAACAATGCAAAATATCTTTCAAAATGAAATTACCAACTTGCTCTCAATATTTGGTGTTTCGTAAAATTTTAACTGTAATTTTGGTTTCGATTTCTTTTACCCCTATGCATTCGTACCGTCGAGCATTTCGAGAATGCGGTAAAATAATAGTCCGTTCGCGTCACGAAAAGACGATCAACAAAAGTCAACGATCTAGCCTCTATTGCATTTTCGTCAATTCACTTATTTAAAATTAATAAAATCTTAAAGTTAGGGACGGGTTGTCACATTTAGCCCCTAACCATAGTTAGTAAAATATGGAACGGGTATAGTATATAAAAACTACGCACATATATTGTGCACTTTTTCTAATTTTAATATTTATGCACTTTGAAAATTATGCACTTTTTCTAATTTTAATATTTATGCACTTTGAAAATTACGCACTTTTTTCTAATTTTAATATTTATTTATTTAAATTAATTAATTATTTCAATTCTTCAAAAATAGGTTAAGAATACATGAATTTTATATGTATTATTGAAAATTGTGTGACAATAACCTGTATTAAACGTGAAAAGTACGCGTATGCATGTTTAGAACGCGTATTGCACATTGGACTTTTAAAAATGTGCAATTTAATGAATAAAAAACGTGTACAGCAAAAACAAAATATTTTTAAAATTACGAAAGTACATGTATAATTAATATAACTAAGTATGCCCATAACCTCTCATCAATAAAAGAGCAAAAATTATAAGAAGTTAGACTAGATGAATAGTACACACATTTTATGAGTTCATTATTTTAAAACCATCAAGAAAAAGAATTGAGTGTATCCAGCCTCTAGTATCACTGCACAAAGATGTGAGAACGTGAAATGTTTAGCAATACACTACTTCTCCTATATCTAATTGGTTTTTAGATCAAAATCGACCCTAAACCCTTCATAAGAAATGGTTCTTGCAAATTGCATAACTCTTCATTTTGGTCTCTGACAATGAAAATCGATAGAAGTGGGCCCTGAGTTTGTCCACTATAAATTATTTTGGTCATTCCATGAAAAATCTATATCGTCGTTAAGTTGTCATGTGAACGACCACCTGACCACTTTTTTTGGGGCATTTTTGTCAAACCAACGCCTTCATTTGACAAAGGTATTTTTGTCGAACCAACCCCTCCACTTTATAAGGGTATTTTTTATTTCTTCAATGTATCAAGCATCTAACCAGTGTAATATATAGCTCTGTAGTATGTTAAAGTTAAAAATGTGACAACTCGATAGGATGGTCAACTTAGTCAGAACTTATAGTACAAGAAATAAGGCTCAAGATTTATACTACAAAGTATAAATCACATCATTGTACATAGTATAAATCGCATCACTGTCATCTCCCTGTTGCCTCAAGAACCTAAATCCTAATCTGCACATGTTTTCATCAGTTTCATGCTGGATTATATCGTATATATACATGTGAACATGCCATCAACCAAACTTCATAACAATGCTCCGCAGAGAGTTTCCAGGTAGCGTGAAGAATATAAAGTTCCAACTAACTGTAGTTTATAGGCTGATCAACTCTCCGTAAAACATGACTTGAATTCTTAAAACGTGCCCTCTATGGACGGGTTAATTGTATTTCTCATACACTAGGTCACCTTTGAGATCGGTATTTACAGTGACTTTCCAGGAAACCTAGCTTTGACAGATGAGATAAAATAATTTGAGACGTCTTTTGCTACAATCTTCACCAACAAATAACTCGACCAAGGAGAATCTGCACCGAGCTGTCTAGAATTCAGTATACACACATCTAAGTTCAGTTGCCCGGATTAAGTGAGAAAACAAAATGGAACCAAAAGAAATTCCATTGGGCGAAATCCCTCCACCCGGCCCAGAAAATTTATGCCACTATTTTTAATCTGAACGAATTGCTTCCACATCCTGATACAAGTGTAAACACAAAATTTCCTGCAATGAATAACAAAAGAACACGTGTACAAAATAAATTTTGTATTAATTAAAAAATTAGGTTACAATCTCTAAGTACAAAATTTGATCCTCTGATTCAACCCTTGAAGATGTGTGTGTGGTAAGGGTCGTGGAAACTTGATCTTGAATCATACTTGATTCCTTCAAGGGCTGTCAAGGGTTAATCTTGAATGAAGCGGGACCACGAGCGGTTTCACATGGTGGGTGGTACGCCAGGTTTGGTGTGGATGAATCGCCACGTGTATTTGTTGTGCTTGTTGATTTTCCACAAGCTTGATCAAGACCACGAGTGTTTGGGTATTTGAAGGTTTGAGGATGTGAGGATGTATGTGGAGGCCTTCTTTGTCTTAGAGCCTCATATTTATAGTCATCTCCAAGTTTTGATTGAAGCTTAATTTGGTGTTGCTTTTGGACTTGATTAACTGATAAAAGAAACAAAACTGATTTGGACTTGATTAATTGACGAAAGAACTAAGACTTAATTTTGATATTGATTTTGGACTTGATTAATTGACGAAAGACCTAAGACTTGATTTGATATTGAATTTGGACTTGATTAATTGACGAAAAAACCAAGACTTGATTTGGACTTGATTAATTGACGAAAGAACCAAGCCTTGATTTGGACTTGATTCGTTCCCCATTTGATTTCATCAAATAATCTTGATTTAATCAAATCATCTATTATTTAATTAAATGATATTAATTTATTAAATCAATCAACTTCATCCTTAATCTAGCCATCTTTAATTTGGCAATCTCCCTGATTTGGCATCCATTGATTATTCCTTTAATTTAAATCAATTAATTTGTTTGATCTAAATCAAGGTTATCTTTAATTATTTTTCACCAAATGCCAACGCAGGTCACTCTTGATGATTCATCTGGTTTTGATGACAAGTATGCAACTTGTGAGACCCATAATGTCCGCCACATAAGCCTGGTAAGTCAGAATATCACTTGCTGGTGAACATTTATTTACCAAAATTTTGATGTTTACAAATGCTTCCACTTCAAGCCACAATGTATCATGTGTTTGTTACATGTATGAGGTGCGATTTAAAGTTTCTCTTGTACTTGCTGTAGATGATGTTGGCGAAAGAAAGCTAAGGTGAAGGACTCAAACTTTGGCCTTCATGATGCTTTCAACCTAGTGGTGTCAACCTTTCGTACAACACAATGGCGGTCAACTAGAGGTGGTGCACATCAAACTCCATGAGTAACATGTTTTCTTTTGATGCGACTGAACTTGAATTTGGTTCTTGAGCTGCCTACGTACCCTACTTAAGTGCAGTCATAACGTAATTCAAGTTTTTTTTTTTTTTGTTCGGTACGTAATTTAGGCTCTTTCTGCCAAGAGCCTTGGAGGACTTAATGTCATTTGTAGTTTTGGCTAGTATTGGCAAGGAGCATTCTGTTGCCTTTTATGCTCATGCGAATGAGGAGCATTTGATGAGGATTTGGTGTCATTTGTTGTTTTGGCTTATGCTGATGAGGAGCAATCAGTGTCTCTTTCTATGCTCGTACAAATTGGGAGCTTTTGGTGTTGATTTGTTGTCATTTGCAATTTTAGCCCATGCAGACAAGGATTACTTCGTGTTGCCTTTTATGCTTGTATGTACAAAAGAGCATTTTATGTGGATTTGATGTTAGTTGCAGTTTTTTTTAAGGGTAAATTAATATTTTAATAATTTTTTAATAGAAAGTGGGCCCCGCCTCAAGCCACGTCAGCATTTAACAGAGGAATTGACAGACAACTGACGGAAGGTATGACATTGCAACAAATTCAAAGATAAGGTATGACATTGAAACTTTTTAAAGACGAGGTATGAAACTGTTAATAACCCAATAGTTGAGGTAGTTTTATGTAATTTACCCAAAAATATACATTAAATATTAAAACAAAAACAAAATTTGAATTTGAATTAAATGCACAAGAAGTGACTAGAATCAAATATGTAATCTAACACATGTTTTAATAAAACTTCAATCTTTTTTAAGTCAGTTTTTGCATTGGAAATACAATCACATAATCACTTTTCATCTAAGTTTACCCTAATTTTTATCTACACTCCATTAAAAATTTAAATTTAAACCTTTTCTAATTTGACCATATTTCTTCTAAAAATACCCTCAAAAGACCAACACCACAAACACCCTAACGCTGCCTCCCATGAATCACTAATTTCTAAATTTCTGTGTGAGAGACTTTCTCACCTGTGTGTGAGTGCTCCCAATTCCGTCCCCTTGTTCTGCCGCCGACCCTAGTAGTGGCCAGGGTCGGTGGCATCCCTTTTTCTTCTTCTTCTTTTGTCTCTCTTCCCTTCTCTGTGAGATTGGCTTTCTCCATTTTTTCTGACCGTCTTTTTTGGTAATCCCCCCCTACAACCTCCGATCTAACCTTTCATCGGTCTCGATCCGACAGTCCCACTTCCAACCTTCCCTTTTCTTCTTCTCTCTCAAGTTTTTCCACCTCCATGACTCTAATCCAGCCATTTTCTGACTTTTCCGTTTGCTTTTGTCCTACATCGTTCTCACACATGTCCGATTATGCAATCATCTCTTCCACCAGCGTTTTGCGGTTTTCTAGGAAGGTGTGCAGAGCTTCGGCTCATATGGTGTACACACCACCACCTTCCAATTGTATGTCGTTTTCAACTTTGTTGCTGGGGGAAAGTTCTTTCCCTCTGGCTTCTTTCTTTGGTGGCTGCGGTTTCGATTTGTGTGGTGTTTGGTGGGGGAAGATGGAGCCTTCTTCCTTGGGGCTGTGTTTGGTGAGATCTCTAGCCTGGGTTGTTGGATTGTGGTCGGCGGCCGGTTCTTCGACAGCGGCCAAGGAAGTTAGTCTTGTAGGGTTTTTAGTTTTGTGTTTTTCTATTTTGGGCCCTTCTCTCGGGTTTGGCTTTTGTTTAGTGTTGGGGGTTCATTTTTTGTTTTGTGTTTACAATGTATTTGGGCCCCTTTGTCTATAATTTTACTCTCTTGGTAATAAAAATTACCTTTGTCCAAAAAAAAAAAAAACATCTTTTTGTCTCTTCTGTATTATTCAATATAAACCATCTTGGTTCTGAATAAAACTTTTGTTTTGTCTTTTGAAACATTTAAAAGTTCAAAAAAAAAAAAGTAAACCTAATTGGTGGGGTGAACTTAGATTTGAAGTGGTCTTTAAATAGAAAAATACCTCACAGCTAATATATATATATATATGAAAATGGTCATCTGGAGGGATGCAATTGATCCTAAATATTGTGCTGAATCTTTGAATTGGCGGGGGCAGTCTATGAACTTCGTTTAGTTGTGATCGCTGCAAAGAGTGACCTCAACGAATTCAGTCATCCCAGTCTTAGTTGTTTAATAAAAATGCTGCTCTTATCACATATTCATACCACCTCTCTAATAGAGATGGGACACATATGTGTTGGTGATCCTCCCCGTATTAGAGAGGTGGTACAAATGTGGTCAGAAAAATATGGTATGTGCAGCATGACTCGTTGAATTGGCACCTGAGTTTTGGTACCTTATTTGGTGCCTTTGCATATAGCATTTTCGGTGCAAACCGCCACAAGAGACAGTTGAAGGCCACCAACCAGGAATTGCAGTTACTACTAGTGCCAAATGACTGATCTACCATTGCTCAAGCTCAGCGAGATGATTGAAGTTGCTTCTTCTGCACTGCCTATAAATAGAGCCAGAGGCCTTCACACTCGAGACCGTTGTCAATTTCAATATCTTCAGATTACACAAAAACCTTTGAGTGATTCCTCAATCAACGCTAAATTGCTTTTCAACACAAAATCAATTGCTTTTTATGCAACCAGGCTTTCAGCTCTTAAGCTACAAACACTAAAGTCATTCTTAGAGGTAAACCTTGAGATTTAAAACTATTTTCGCTCTGCCACCATGTGGTATATTATTTTTGGTTATGTACAATCTGTTGGGACACATAATCCTCACACAACCTGCCCCTGAAAGCGAGTGGTAAACTCTTGTTAGCACAAGGTGCTTTAGTCAAGCCTTTGATAGGCTCTTAGGCTCTCTTGTAAAAACAATGATTTTGTATAGGCATGCCACTGTTGGCCAAGACCAACAGATTATTATTATTATTATTATTTTTAAGTTGTTTAGTATGCCATTTGCCTCCGCCGCAAGGAATTGGCCTTCTTCTTAAAGGATTGTTATTCTGGAGAAGTTAAATTCATACTTAGGTTCTTTTATATGCCTTGAAGACAAGGAGTTAATAATTTTCTTGTGTTAAATACCAAAAAAAAAAAAAAAAGAAGAAAACAAGGATCACAAACTGATCAAAAAGAGATTTTGAACCAGTGAACAACCTTTGAGTAAGGGGGCAATGCAGGAAAGTAAAGCAAAATGAATAAACAAAGAGATATATCAGCAAATATTCAAGAAACATTGATAACTAAGCGAAACATAAAGACAATAGCGTGAAAGTAAGTAACAAATACGAGCCATCAAGCAAGTTTTTTACCTAGTCGGGCAAGTTCTTGCAGTTGTGGGCAATGTACTAACAAAGGGTTTTTTTTTTTTACAAAGAAAATCGATATTGCAAAAGGAAAGTAGCAAAACAATAAATACAAGAGAATGTCTTTAGCTACAAAGGGAATGTTTGAAAAGTAAGCTGCAAAGCTTTAAAGAAGTCTTTTGATTTGAGTTGAGCGTCTCTTTATCTAATCCCTCCGCCGCCTTTTATAGAAGCCTTCTTTCTTCAAAATTAAGTCCTTGTAACTCGGTTCATTCCCTCTCATCCAAGTTGTGATGCGATGTCAGTCAGAGGATTAGTCCTTATTTGGATACTCGAGCTCGGATCCTCTCCGATTTACAAGTTTTCCACGGAAATTAAAGTGTTATACCATGCATCCAAATTAAAGAGGAGACAATGGAACTTTGTACTCAACTTACTTGATAGGAACAATAGTTTCCACATAAATAAGAGCTTCGAAATCTATAACCTCACTAACAGTAAGAGGGATATGAATATACTTGAGATTTTGGGTACTACAATTATAAGAGGTGGCTCTTCCATTGGAGGCAAACATAAGAAGCTCATCACTTTTCCAAAATGTCAATGGTTGCTTAATACCTTGTAAGGGTCCAACAATTAGAAGTTTTGTCCATGAACTCTTAACTCCGTCATAATATTCTATTACCCATATGTCACATGATTGATAATCCTCATTTGCATCAAAACGAGAGCAAAAGGAAGCAAGGGATTCATTACGAAGAAAAAATATATAAAAACTAAACCCGGATTCTCTCCCAGTAGGGAATTGTATTTTATAAAATATATCATTACCTAAATCAAATGAAAGTATGTATTCCTTGCCATCCGTTGCATGCCAATAAAAAAATCCCTTCAAGTACACTGAACAAGACCAGGAATAGGTTTTACTTGATATATCAATCTTGATCTCTTTCCAAGAGTTGGAAGCCGTGGTATATACCTCAGCTGTGTGAGGAAGACCAATACGATGATAATATGTTTGCTCATCATCTGAATACTCGCAGTTTCCTATAATTCGCACAACCTTGTATTGTTTAGCTTTGCAATAATAGCCAAATCCCATTGCTTGAAAGGTCGTTTCCAATTCGAATTTTCCCTTGGGACGGGGTAGAAGAAGGCATGAATCGGGAAGTTGCCTGAATTCCCCAATTGCTGGATTGCATAAAACAACATTTTCCCCTGTTATTACGCAGACAATCCCATTGCAATAACCGTGAATCAGTACTGGGTGATGGTCTTCCATTGGAAACGGAATGTTTAGGTCCTCAACATCATAATGAAGGTTGGGATTATCACTGTCAATGGAAAGTTAATCATGGACCATAAAATTTCATATTTCCAACTCTCGTCCGGGAAAATGTGAGGACGAGAGGTTACTGTCCACGGAATTGTTGAGGTGTTTGGCCACAAAACTTGGACTCTTGGTGAGAGTGCACCAAGACTTGCGTATGCATTTGAATCGCATCAGATACTTAGGCGGCAACCTGAACCTGGACAGGATTTCGACCACCTTATCTGCAGGAGTTTCATTTTCTTGCATCTGGGACATTTTGGCAGTTTTGCTCCACAGGAATTCTTCACACGTATATACACAAGAAAGACCACCAGTTTGAGTGACAAACTAAATAAACTTGGAGTTCCATAACCACAACGTATATAGCTATCAAAGAAAACACGGGCGATTCATGGTTGGCGTTTTTTGAGTTTTCCAAAGAAAACAGGGGTGATCCATTTAGTTTTGAGTTTTATGGAGAATCATTTGTTCAAGTTTTTTGGTCATTTTCTTGGTGGTTTCTGCCAATGGATTGGTTATCGCAACTCTTTTTTTACATAATTATCTGCAATTATTATTGGTGTAGAGTTTGCATATCAACTGGGTTGGCATTGTCTTTGGTTGGAAAGTGACAGCTCTAGTGTTATTTCTGCTCTTCAATCGTCTGATTTTGATCCTCCATGGCCACTTCGTACACAATGGTCGATTTGTTAGGACCGCATCCAGAAAATGACTTTCTACTCATCTCACATATATCGGGAGGGAAATTTTGTTGCGGACAATTTTGCTAACATGGGCTTGTCTTCTCCAACTTTAACTTGGCATGATTCTCCTCTGCCAGCGGCTCGTGCTGCATTGTTTTCGGACTATGTTGGCTTGCCTGGTTACCGCTTATCAAATTAATGTGCATCTTGGCATCCAGGTTTTTCGTACTTTTTTTTTCCCGAACTTTGTGGTGTTGCTCAACTTGTTTTGCAAGTTTAGACCTTTAGGTTTGGTTTCAAAGGGGTTAGGTTTTATGTCCCCTCCTCTTTTCTTTGTATCTCTCTTGTTTTCGTTTTTACAAGGGTACGGTTTATGTCCCCCTTTCTTTTTCATGTATTGTTTTTGTTATCTTTGTTTTATGAGGGGTAAGGTTTATGTCTCCCCTGACTATGTGTAACTTCATTTTTCGTTATCAATAAAATTTCTCTCATACCATCGAGGTTTCCCCAAAAAACAAAAAAAAACAAAAACAAAAACTTGTTCAAATTTTACTATTTTTAATTTTTTTATTGATACAAAAATAACCATTCTAGTATTGCTTTTTAATTCTACATTAGATTAACTATGGAAGAAAAATTCACATGATATCCCTATATGGGCCCGCGTTAACATCACATGATTTTAATTAACTAAGAAAATAAAATTCACGTATTCATACACGAGTTTTAGTTAATCAAGTCAATATTTTCATTAAAAATACAATCACATAACCACTTTTCATCTAAGTTTACCCCAATTTTTATTTACACTCCATTAAAAGTTTAAAATTGAAACCTTTTCTAAGTTCACCACTTTTCTTCTAAAAATACCCTCCAGGCCAACACCACATACACAAAAACCCTAACGCAGCCTCCCATGCACCCCCCAATTTCTGAACTTCACTATAGACCAACATCTTTTTGTCTCTTCTGTATTATTCAATAGAAACCAAAATGTTGGTTTTGATTAAAACTCTTCTTTTGTCTTTTGACGCAATTACAAGTAAAAATAATAAATAAATAAATAAACTTAAATGGTTGGATGAACTTAGGTGAGAAGTTGTGTTTATAGAGAACTCACAACTAATTAATATATATATGAAAACGGTCATCTGGAGGTATGCAATTGACCGTACTATATATTTAAGTAGCAGTACTAGCTGGGCCCGCCCTTCATACTGGATACAATTTTTTTTTTTTGGTAACTGGAATATCATAGCCAAGGTTAAGAAGCCAAACATATAGAAAGCCAAAACAAGGCAATCAGCAAGCAGTACAAAGGAGACAAGCCTTGCAGGGAGTTACAAGAAAGAATGACGTGGAACCGCATGCCAACACGTCACCCCTCGCAAAGCCATGATAACCTAATGTGGGCATGGCAAACTGTCGTTGTTTAAGAGATAAACCAAGGAGGATGGGGGTTGGTCAACCCACGAAACATCACACATCTCCTTCGACTTCTGTGACGCTAACAGATCCACCGCCTTGTTGGCTGATATTGAAGTCCAAGACCAACGACAAGCCTGAAAGGAATCCGAAATGCCTTGACTTTCGCCAAAATGGGATACACCCTCCAGTTGCCATTTTCCAACTTGTCATACTAGATACCTTTGGTAGGGCATAAATATTGTGCTGATTGTTTGTACCGGAGGAGGCAAAAATATCTTAAAAGTTCTAGAGACGACACATGAACTTTTTCTAAAGAAAACAAGGATGTCCTCATTAAATGGGTAAGGTCCACAAATATTTCCATGTGCAATTCAACATCCCTAGAAGCTTGAGTTGCAGACTACAACATCACCCAGCTCAAGTCTTTGTTGTAGAATTCTAATCATGTTAAATGTAATTGTTGCTAATGAAAACACGAAAATTCTGTAACGAATGAAATGAGAACACGTGTACAAAGTAGATTTGTATAGATGAATTTGTAGGTTACAATCTCTGCTTACAATTTTCCTTTAATTCAGTCTTCAAATTTGATGTAGATGCGTAGGTTGTTGATCCAAAGGTGGCAATGACTTGATCTCGGATGAACGATTGAAAGATTGCCTCAAGTTTTGAGCTTGAAACAATGCATGGATAGTCTTCACCTCAAGGTTTGCATATGACTTGCAGCAAAGGTGATGTTGATGTGGGATTGTGTTGATTCAAGGGTCTTGGCGACTTGATCTTGGATCAAACGCTATTACAAGTTTTAAGCTTGCAACAAAGTCTTGAAGGAATTGGCATAAGTGCTTGTTGATTCTTCAAGGGAATGCTTCGGCTTTGGTCAAAAGAAAGCTTCAGCTTTGGCTGTACGTTCTTAGAAGAAAGCTTTGGCAGCATATTAGTTTTCAAAGATTTGGCAGAGGTTCTCCTTTTGTGAGAATTTCAGCCCTTCATTGTAGAAATTGTCGACCTTTATGCTTATCTGAGGACCTTATATTTATAGACTTCCAAAGCCATTCCTTTGGGTGGATTTGGCTTTGATTTGTGTCTTGATTCTTCCATGGGAGAATTTAGGCATGTTTTGTGTCTTACTTTCAGCCATTTTCCCTTGCTTGGCCGAATTATAGGGTTTGACCTATTTTGTGAGCAATATTCAATTCTTACTTGTTTTATGAAGATGCTTTAGTTTTCTTTCTGGTTTTGGGAGCAACTTGGACCCTTTGCCGATTTTAAGGAGATTTCTTCCCCTTTGCCGCATTTTAGGAATGCTTTTGAGCTTTCTTTGCTTGATTTGTGCCACATGTCATTGATTACTTGTCCATTTGTGACGAGTCATATGCCATGTGGAGCTTTGTTATGCATCATTTGCATGCAACGAAATTTTCATGTCTGCAAATGGCCCTACTTCAAGGCCCGTTGTAGGCATGTGCTTGTCACATGTAGGAAATGTGTTTTGAAGTCCTGCAATGTGAATGTTCTAACTCAAGGGTCGTCGAGACTTGATCTTGAATTAGTTTGCTTCTTCAAGGGCCGTAGAGATGTATTTCTTGAACGAAACATTTCTTCAAGGGCCGTTGAGGCGTATTGAAATGATGAATTTCGTCAATGGCCGTTGAGGTGTATTTCTTGAACGAAACATTTCTTCAAGGGTCGTTGAGGCTTGATCTTGAACGAAATGGAAATTTTCTTCAAGGGCCGTAGAGGCTTAATCTTGAATGAAAATGAATTTTTTTTAAGGGCCGTAGAGTTTATTCATACTTTCATTAAGTATAACATAAGATTTTGTGGTATCCACTAGTGTAAATATTTTAAATTGAAGATCAAATTCATTCATCGTATTCATATTGGGTCAAGGAGTGTAGTTGTAAAAAATCATCAAAATCGGAGTTAAAATAACCGTTAAATCGTGATTTTTCGTTGATAACCTTCAAAAAAATTTGTCCCGTTACTTGATCTCTAAAAGTTTTTTTTTTGCGATTTTGATCTCTGAAAGTTTGTTTTTTGCGATTTTTGGCGTATGCAATCTTGAAGCATATACAAATAAGTTTGACGATTGAATCATTGAAACTAGTTTTGTAGAATGTTTATCCCATCAAAACAATAGATTCACTAACACTTAAGAGTTTATTCATACTTTCATTAAGTATAACATAAGATTTTGTGGTATCCACTAGTGTAAATATTTTAAATTGAAGATTGAGTTCATTCATTGTATTCGTATAGGGTCAAGGAGTGTAGCTTTAAAAAATCATCAAAATCGAAGTTCAAATAACCATTAAATCGTGATTTTTTGTTGATAACCGTCGAAAAGTTTTATCCCGTTACTTGATCTCCGAATGTTTGTTTTTTGCGATTTTTGGTGTATCTGGTCTTGAAGCATATATAAACAAGTTTGACGGTTGGATCGTTGAAATTAGTTTCGTAGAATGTGTATCCCATCAAAACGATAAATTCACTAATACTTAAAATTTATTTATACTTTCATTACGTATAACATAAGAATTTGTGGTATCCACTTGTGTAAATATTTAAAATTGACGATCGAATTAGTTCATTGCATTCATATAGGATCAAGGAGTGTAGGTGTAAAAAATTATCAAAATCGGAGTTAAAATAACCGTTAAATCGTGAATTTTCGTTTATAACCGTCAAGTTCAATAATATATATATATATATATATATATATATATGTCAATGCAATTAAAAAATTAAAACCTATGTCAGCTACAATTGACACCAGCTTTGAAAATATTTCTTTTAACAGACGCTAACATTATGTCAGTTATAATTGACATCGGGTTTCAAAATTTTTAATAAAAATTAAAACCTATGTCGGTTACAACTAACACTACCTTTGAAAATATTTAAAAACTATCATTAGTTTCGCCTATAAGTGACACCAGTTGTCTTTTAACCAACGCTAACGTTATGTCGGTTAAAAGCGACACAGTTTTTTTTTAATGCGACATCAGTATTAAAAATATTAAAATAAACGTCGGTTATAAGCGACATTAACAGTTTATGTCTGTTATAACCGACAGTAACTCCGACACCATATTAAGTGGGTCTCGGAATGTCTTATTCGCCACTATGTTGTATAAAAGC